CAAGGTTTTGTCATCGTACCTGATGATGACAAAACCTTGTCGAAACGTTGTACATTTGCTGTCATGTTCAACTTATATTAAAGTTTTTCTTCATTACCCATTTAAGCCGTCTCCAGCCATTATTAGTCACTGAGACATGTTCGTAGCGTAGAGTAGCTTGTTCCTGTTTTATTGAGTGTGAAACGTAATGAACAACATTTTTTTTCAAGAACTGATTTTTGTTGTTAAGCAATTATAATGTCTACGATTAATTAAAAAATCGGTAATTGTTTTTTGTGGTTTTCAGCGCACAAAAGGTGTTGTTCGAAAACAAACGATCATTTGTAGTGACTGAGGCGACATCCGTTGGTACAGGAAGCTATGCAGGCCATTGGATACAATTCAATTTTTCTCGCTGGAGCGATTTGAAAGTAGCACTACCAATTGTTTTTGAATATGGACTTTCTGGAATACCTTACGTAAGAAATAGGTTATTAAAAAAGTATATATCACAACAGCATTTTTTCGACATGAATTACCATAACTTAAAAGGTACAATGTTAAACCCACTAGAATCTTTTTTTTTTCACAACTAGCTTGTTTAATTATGCCTTGTAATACTCATTTGACTTTGTCCTAGAGACCATCCACTTTAAAAAGATTTTCTTCACGATACTATAAGATTAAGTTTGTCTTCATTGCCCAAGACAACATGCAGTACCTACATAGCTTAGAGAAACGCAATTGTGTTTGCACTTGAAACTTTTGATACTAATCAACCAATAAGATTCACCGATGACATTATTATTATTTAAATTCTAACTCTATTTGTGGTACAAAAGCCTTAAAGGAAAAATTGGTTATACAGTTACTTTCTTGTTGATTCCAGAAAAACTTATGATCTATGGTAATCAATCCTCCAATAATACCTTCCATTTTGATGTACCTAGTAATGATTTATTTATTCGAATGAGAACAAACACTGATTTCATAAGTTGACTTCTTTTATAGAGCTATATATTTATCTCTACAGGTGGGGATAAAATTGTGCAGTAGAAATCCCATTCAAGAAGAGGACTTGTGGTTGCGATGGTTTGAACTTGGGGCTTTCTTTCCCCTATTCGAAATTTGTTTTACACATGACGATTTGGTAAACTTTCCTTAGTCTCTTATTATACCTTAAAACTAATGATACGAATATTTGTGGAATCCTATAAAATTCCACCGACATAACGATTAAAATTAAAAGAAATTGGTATAAAATTATTATAATACATTCAAACAGATGATAAATAATGTCATGTTGTATGATTATATTAAAATCAAGTAAAATTCACTTTTGTTTTACAAATTCAGAGATTCGAGTAGTATCTTTAGTTTTTATTAAAACGTGCAGAAGGGAGTGCTGAGTAAGAACTGTTAATATTATTACGTCAATATCAAAGACTCCTAAGACCTTTTTTACTTGTTTTTATGACCTTTAGAAAACATTTTGTTTACAAATAGGTGTCTTTCGTAGTTTTAGCTGGCTTTTTTATAATCATGTGGCATGTGCATTTTGAATAGATGTACATATTTTACTGGGAGCTGAGTAAAAGTTTTGTTGATGTACTACGGCGTGTCACCGAACTTCGGTATGAACTCTTGCCGTTCCTGTATACACTATTTCATCACGCTCACACTAGAGGGACAACAGTCGTCCGCTCTCTGGTACAAGAGTATGTGAAATTTATCTATTTAATGTTTTGTTATTATATAATTAAAAGGTATTAAATAAACGAAATTAAAGCAGCTTATATTTAAAACTCGGCACATTAATTATAAATAAATATTATATTATACACAATATTTAGAAGGAAAGGATTATGCAACCAAAATTAATTCCTTGTTGCCATTTAGAAGTAATTATCTGTGTGTGTGTGTAACTGGCTACTGGCTACCGTGGAAACATGGAAGCAAGCCATTTTATAAATACATAGTAGGTAACATTTCCGGCGATCATGTTCATGCGCGAATTCTATCAGGCGTAGAAGTTATTATCGTAATTATGAAAACCTAACGTTATACTCAGAAAATATAGTTGTATGCATTGAATATTTCCTTATATTAATTCGTGATAGGTATAGTTTTGTTAACAATAAATTTTATTATTCGAAATTTAGTTGATACATATAAGTTTTTTTTTTTTTTATAGATTCCCTGATCATAGCATCACTTCACGGATAAATACACAGTTTTTATGGGGGTCGTCCCTATTATTCACTCCTATTATGGAAAAGGTAGAAACACTCAAAATATTCTCACACATGTTTTTCCTGATAAAATTAATGTGAAATACGTGTTTACATTATAGAATATATATAACCGTTTTATTTTTGTGCTATGACTAAGTCATTTAGAGAACGGCATTAATGTGTTAAGAAAATACTATTTTCTTCAAGTGATTTGTGTTTTTGTATTTTCCTTGCAAACTTCCGGTGATCTAGACACAACGTTGAATTTGAGACCCAACTGATAACATGAAAGTTATTTGTGATCAAAAGCTTGAATATAACTGCGGTGGAAGTTTTTATTTTCTTTTGTTGGAGTATTTTAACGTAACATCGCATTTAATTATGATATAACCGTTTTGTTTAGTGACGAAAATATTGAACTACCCAATAAATATACACAAAACTGAGATATAAATGGATTTTTTTGTTTTAAATACTGCAAAACGATTCTTTAAATTGTTTAAAGTCTTGTTAATTTGTGATTTTAACATACTGTTCTCTTTCCTAAATACTCCATTGGACAAACAGTGTACTTCTAATATTTAATTCTAAAATATTCTTTACAGAACGTAGCTGTGCATAAGACAATTATAAAAAGACACAAAAACGGTTAAAATAACATGAAAATGATTTTTACTTGTTACATCTACTGTTATCTAGTAATGTATTTTCTAATACTATAATGCAAATGAAATCATCAACAGTTTTGATCAGTAACACAAAAACATAATGATTTACGTTGTTCATCCTTTTACAGACATATAATTAACTTCATATAAATTTTTATTTGAACGTAAAATATCCATAATATAACAAAGTGTCAGTATTTCAATTTATTTCTTAATGGTTGCTTGAATACCTATACGTACTGGCGGTTGTCTGTCTGTATCTCTATTCATTTATATCACGTGAAATAAAAAATAAAAATTTGGCGTAAATTCAAAATACTTCCAATTTCTTTCTTTCTTCAACATTATGCGTGCGGAACTAAATACTGTAGTATATGTTAAGGTGTTACCCAACTATGCTGATAACTCTCAGGAAAAGTATGATATTGGATACGTCCTTTTTTTTTTTTCCAAGGGAGTAAATGAAGTGAAAGCCTTTTTCCCACAAGGGTTATGGTATGATTATTTCACAGTAAGTAAAAATAATATTTATTTTAACAAATTCTAATCTTATTTCAAAATGAGCGTGGTAAAACGTAGATTTGACGTTTATTGTAAAAATTAATATAGCTTAAATAATTCACATATATTTTAATAGACTTATACAACATTGGAAGCTTGTTATAAAATAACATAATTATGTTACTTATAGTTTAAAAAGTATTTAGTCTAAAAGTATCACCAACAAAAAACTACTGAAATACTCTTAAAACTGAAATTGAAAAGTAAAGTTTTTGTGATTTCCTAAAATAACATACAATTTAAGTAGTTTTGAATTTTTTAGAAACTTCTTTAACTCAGAAAAATATTAATAATAATTCATATAACTCACAATAATATTTGACTTTTTTTTTCTTTTAAGTTCAAAGCTACACATTGGGCTATCTAAGCTGTACATATAGCAGGGATCAAGCCCCCAAATTTTGAACCCCATGTAATAAATTTACTTCTGAACCTACACGAGAAAGTGAGAAGAAATTTTAAGGAAACAGAAATATTTCGGAAAATGACCTGGCATGACCTGGTGGTTAAGGCGCTCAACTCACAATGTGAGGGTCACGGGTTCAAATCCCCATCACCGAGCATGCTTTCTCTTTAGGGTTAATGTCATGACCAGCAATATAAATGTCATTATTTTTGGCTAATCTAAAATGACTGACCCTAAAACTAGCTGGGATTAAGGTCTAATGAAGAAGAAATATTTCAGAAAATGAACTTTAAAATCACATTGAAGTTGCCTAATATTATATATTAATATGTTTTGTGACTGGTTCAAAATAATTTGGAAATTAGTATGGTAAGAGAAATCTCATGAAAATACGGTAATTAATTATGAGTATGTAAGAAAAATCTATAACTGTGACACATACTTAATTTTATACACGTTTATCCTTTTTCTATGAGTACATCTAATTTAGTTTGCATTTTTTCTCTAACAAAAGGTTGAATGTCAAGGCTAGAAACAAAAATATTCTATATGGGGGAGGCTAAATAGTGGGTTAAAGCACCACATTAAGGCGTCTTCATATTTTGTTGTTGCTTTACATTCCTTTAAGGGAGAACGGCTGGACATTGGAGAAAATGGTCAATGGAAATCCCTTAGAACTTCTCTGTACAATATCACTAGACCAGTAAACTTGCATCTTCGAGGAGGACAAGTCGTGGTGAATCAGGTACCTGCTAATAATACTGCTTTCAGGTATGCTTTAAAAAACACATACGTGTTTAGGATAAACATGACAAAAAGCGAGTATCGTATAAATGTCAGCAATCAATGTCAAAGTTTACAGTTTATATTGTTATTTACCAAAGAATCGTTGTATGTATATATTGTTACTTACTGAACATCAGTGTAAAAAGCTGACAGAATAGATTGTTATTTACTCGATAACTTGGCGCAAACTAAACGTTTAATGTTGTTAAATCTACAATATCCAACTAAACAAAAGAAAACAGTTTAAATTTGTTAGATTTTACAGACTAGCACTAAAACTACTAATGTTTTATTGTAAGATGTTTCTGAAAATTGATAAATAATAATAATATTTGATATTTAATTGACATCATTATGGAAATATAAAATGCACTGTTAGATTTCTGACGTCTGTCTGTCATCTAGTTTAATATTATATAAATCAATAAACTTAGATTTCTGACATCCATTATATCATTAATATCCTATATTATTGCTAAATATTTAACATTTGTTTAAAAATAACTTCACAGTCAATCTACGACATAAACATGACTTGTGACAAGATACTAGTAAGTGGTGTGATGGCACCTCATAACCCCCAGTGGTTCAGCTGTAACTCTCAGGGCTTATACCGCTAAAATCGGGTTTCGGCACCAGCGGTGGACAGAGCACAAATAGCTCATTGTATAGCTTTGTGCTTAACAGCAATCAAACAATTAGCCAGATGAAGTCAAATGCGTCAAGGAATCAGAGGAACTTCTAGATAAGGATATTTATCGGATGCAGCATTGATGTTACGTTTACTTGAAACATTTCAGTTAGCCTACTCATAGTTAAATCCACTATGGGTAATAAACTGAAAAAAAATAAATAAAACATTTGGGCATAATAATTTATATTAACAGCTCAACTGACTTCTTAATCTATTTGAACTTTGAAAAATATTGTGTGACAAAAACATCAGTCCGGAATTAAATACATCACCCTAAACTTTAATAATAGTCATGAATGCAGGAAAGCATATCTATTGTGTACGGGGAGCTTCATGGAATTGAACTACAGGAACCATATCCACTGTGTGCAGAGAGTTTCATTGTACTGGATTACAGGAAACTATATCTACTTTGTGAGGGGAGGATGTTTCATGATATTGGACAACACGAAATTAAGTATATCCATGGTGTGCATAAACTTTCGTGGTATTGGACTACAGGAAAGCACAACCATGATATTCATAAACTTTCGTGGTATTGGACTACAGGAAAGCACAACCATGATGTGCATAAACTTTCGTGGTATTGGGCTACAGGAAAGCACAACCATGATGTGCAGGGAAATTCATGATGCTGGACTACAAAAAACCATGTCCACTATACCTAGGGAGGTTCATGGTACTGGACTACATGAAAGTATATCCATGTGTGCAGGAGTTTGGTTGTGCTGGACTACACGAAAATATATCCATGTGTGCAGGGAGTTTCATGGTGCTGGACTACACGTAAGCATATATATCCATGATGTGCAGGGAGTTTCATGGTGCTGGACTACACGAAAGCATATATATCCATGATGTGCAGGGAGTTTCATGGTACTGGACTACACGAAAACATATCCACTGTGTGAAAGGAGTTTCACGGTACTGGACTACACGAAAGCATATATATCCATGATGTGCAGGGATTTTCATTGTGCTGGACTACACGAAAACATATCCACTGTGTGAAAGGAGTTTCATGGTACTGGACTATTCAATCATGTGCAGGGATTTTCATTGTGCTGGACTACACGAAAACATATCCACTGTGTGAAAGGAGTTTCATGGTTCTGGACTACACAATCATGTGCAGGGATTTTCATTGTGCTGGACTACACGAAAACATATCCATTGTGTGAAAGGAGTTTCATGGTTCTGGACTGCAGTTTATAAGCCGTTTCTTAAAACTGCGAGTGAAAAATGGGAGCTCTCGTGGTGCCTTTGGCATTGAAATTCGGACGATGATCACTGGGAACCCACCATTTGAAGCATTTAAACTTACTACTTATTGTTTGGCTCACATGAGCGAGTCTGTATTTAACAGAACATAAAGAATGCTTTGGGTATAACTATGTCACAGCAGTTGTCAAGTGTCATGGCTGTCCTGTTTTAGCTGGTTTTGACTTCGTCATGTTATGGCGAATAAAACATATTACGTAATGGAATGTTTTCGATAAAGGCCACACCTCTATCAAAATGCTAATGCAGCATGCTAATCGAACATTGTGCTCACTAATAAGTTGAAAAACAACGAATGTTCACAACCATTCTTGGGCATTTAAGAAAGCCCACAAAAGAAAAATCAAAATCGAATAATGTTTCTTCTTATCATTATTATTATTTGTTTTTCGAAACAGTAAGCGTCTATTATATCATATGCGTAACGAGGGTTAATGGTAATTATTGATGAACAAGAACGCATACAACAAATCAGGGCATAACGATACTATTGATAATATAGTGCGTGACTTAATCCTTATCATATTTTATAATGAAGTAACTATGTTTTGTTCTCTATATTGGTTTTCGTTGATTTTGTTTGTTTCTCATTAATTGCTTCAAGTCGTCGAAATCCCATGAGATTACTGGTGGCATTAGATAGAAGGAGAACAGCTCGAGGAGATCTGTTCCTGGATGATGGAGAAACTTTAGGTACGTAAAAATATACGATTATGAACTTCGTTAACTACGTTTAGTTACTTGAATCACGAAGTATAGAAGTGCACTATAGATATATTGTGTGATTGTTACTGTAACAACTAGAAACTAAAAATAAACTCAAGTTAATCAAATCTTGAACGACAAAAAAGATTAGTTAAATAAACTCGAACTAGTAATTAACTAGTTCATTCAGACTTGAATAAATAAAGTATTAGGCATAATGTTAGATAAATTGAAACTGGCGGCTAACTAGTTCATTCAGACTTGAATAAATGAAGTATTAGGCATAATGTTAGATAAATTGAAACTGACAGCTAACTAGTTCATTGGGACTTGAATAAATGAAGTATTAGGCATAATGTTAGATAAATTGAAACTGGCGGCTAACTAGTTCATTCAGACTTGAATAAATGAAGTATTGGGCATAATGTTAGAGAAATTGAAACTGGCGGTCAACTAGTTCATTCAGACTTGAATAAATGAAGTATTAGGCATAATGTTAGATAAATTGAAACTGGCGGCTAACTAGTTCATTCAGACTTGAATAAATGAAGTATTAGGCATAATGTTAGATAAATTGAAACTGGCGGTCAACTAGTTCATTCAGACTTGAATAAATGAAGTATTGGGCATAATGTTAGAGAAATTGAAACTGGCGGCAAAAATAGGTCATTCAAAATCAAGAATATTAGGTAAAAAGAAACAGTTGACTAAACTAATTTACTAAGGCTTGAATGACAGAGAAACTGGGCATTTTCCGGCATATTCAATATAAATACAACGCTAACATTAAAATACACCACAAGATAACAGTATCGTTGACTCCTCTCCTCTGACGTATATACTTCAGGATATTTTATAAGTTCACGGGTATACTTTGGTATATGTTATTGTAATATGGTTTTTCTGAGCTGTAAGCAAAGTGCGAAATTGAAGAAACCGTAAAGAAAACCCAGATTTTCATAACTTTTTTCCTGACTTACAGGAACAGAACTGAAGACACTTATTTTATTAATTTTCCATACAATTAAAGTTTAAAGGCTTTCGTTGCCGACCACAAGTGGCAAGTTCACGTACATAATAATTTATAGTGTCAATTTTACTACTAGCAACAGAACTCGCTGTTAAGTACCTACTGAAATTTGATGTTTTGTCGTTAAGCACAAAAGTACACAATTGGCTATCTGGGCTATGTCCACAGCGGAAATCGAAACCAGAATTTTAACATTTTAAGCTTATAGCTGAGCCACCGGAGAGCTTTCGGGGACTGAGGTATCAAACTAATATAATTTTAGCACTATTATCACAAAATCTTAATTTTTGACTTTGTTTATTTTTTCCTTATATTTTTTTGAAAAATACATCATCTATTATAGATGCTCTTTTTAAAAATTATGATGTTTGTAGAAACTTTAACATCTAACTGGAATTTATATATTTTATTTTTGGCTGTAACTACATATCTTTAGATTACCAAGCTCTTCATGTAATGTAATTCAAGTAACCAAACACATTGACAGGTAAATTGATGCTCTAGTGAAGATATTTTCTTTTTCTGACCTGGTAACAGTCAATCCCACTATTCGTTGATAAAAGAGTAGCCCAAGAGTTGGCGGTGGGTGGTGTTGACTAACTGTTCTTCCTCTAGTCTATCACTGTTAAATTAGGGACGTCTAGCGCCTTCGTGTAGCTTTGCGCGAAATTCAAAACGAACCCAACCAAACCGTTTTGATACATATGCTGACAAGATAACAAACGTTTATTTTTGTATTTTTAAACCATAGCATCAATTGTTTTGAGGCAGTTACTATTTGCACTTGGTGGTCAAGCGTTGTCTGGTGGGTAGAGCACTCGTCTTCTGATCTCTAAGTAGCGAGATCAACGACCGGTGCCGAACATGCTCGCCATCCCCGCCGTAGGAGCACTTATGCAATCGTGATGAAAAACTGACTGTGACGTCATTTCTCCGGACCGCTATATTTTGCAGCAGTCAAGACGCTTACAGATAAATCAACAAAAACTCTTTCTGTTTGAAATAAATGGGAAAAACTTGCTGCTGGTGCATATTTGAATTTAAAACCCAGGGTATTACATTTCACAGGTATGTGGTGTGCTTTGTATTAATATTCCACTTAGAGCTCTCACTGCTTCTTTTGGTCACAGCTTAGTGGGTCAGTAGCAAATCAGTAAACTATAGCATAATAACACCTTGTTCAGATTAAAATTAGTGAATGTTAGTTGAGATGGTGGCTAAAACAAAGGCTACTTTAATCTATTTAATCATGCGTCCCCCCGATGGGTCAGTGGTAAGTTTATGGACCTGCAACGCTGTGGACAGACTGCAAATAGCTCATTGTATTGCTTTACACTCAGAAAACATAAAGAACAAACAAATAAAACTTAATCGTGTTGTTTCAGTGATTTAGAAAATCATGAAAATAAAGCTTAATCTTAGAAGAATTCCTTTCATAAGTTAGTTCCTTTGAGTTTGCTCATCTCATAATTCATAGTTTTCTTGTATTTATTATCACGAACAACAGTGGCGACGTTTGGGTGATAATTGCCCCAGCTGGTCTTCAGTATTAGCTGTCTGAAGTTGTAAAAATGCTAAAAAAAAAGAAATGCATTTTGTAGCGTTTTGAGGGTGCATAATATTTCCTTCTACAACAAAAAGATGAAATGCTACCACTGATGAATAAGCGTAGGAAAACTGCATATTAACTATATTACAATATTTTCGTTGATTGCTTTTCAATATTCTGTATCGTAGAAGCAATGTATGGGTCTTTTTATACAGTGATAGCACAAAAGTTTGAGTTCACCCATTTATTTATGTTAAAGATAAATTTTGTTTTTCAGCTCGTATTGATAGGTGACAAAACATTGTCAGCAAAAAATCCATAAAGCCTACTTCTCTCATTGCATCCTTTTCGGCATAAACTCCATTCGTTTCTTGAAAGTGACGGGCATGTTACACAGCCAGCCTGCGTGGCATGACATGAATAAACCATGCCTCATGCTTAAAGTACTCTTAGGCACATACCAAGACCCACTCTGCCTTGAGCGAGCTGGGCTGATCGCCACATGTTTTGGTGCAAGATGTTTGTTGCACTCTCCCAAATCGGTGGCCATGCCTGCCATGGGTTCCTTTAACTCCATGTAGTTGTAGCAGCAGTATTCACTTTCTTAAACAACAACTCTTCTAGCTGTGAAAATCCCATTTCTATTAGTAAATAACCTTTTAAACATAAAGCACAAGAGTTAAAAAAAGGCATTACTATAACCAAGTTTCGAATCGTGCTCGTGGCATCAACATTTTCTGTTTCCTATTCACTCTGTGGTAAAACTGAATTTACTTAAGAGAAATGGTATAGACACACTTTGTAATACAAAATTTCTGAATAGTGAGTCACAGAAAGAAAGAAACTCGACAGAAGGTAACATAACAAATGAACAATCTTTATTGATTCACATAAAAAGTGCGTGTACTTGCTATTGAACTGAGAAGGGACGGTCACAAGAAGCGTGACTAGCACTTATCAAGTTACTGATCATTCTCATTCAAACATATAAGAGACCGTGACCTTGAGATATCACTTGAACTACCATTAAAGGACACTGTTGTCGTCATTCTTACACAACGTGCAGTGTTTCAAGCAATCATTCTAGAGAATAACAAAGGCAGATAGAACGGCATGATCTTAAAAGCTTTCTCTACCACGTGTTATGCGAAACGTACACATGTGCAGAATAAAGAATAAATTCAGAATAAATATTATAATGATACAAGAAGACAGTGATACCACAAAAACCCAAGTTTGCAAACTAATGTTGCCTATTCGATAACCGCGACACCCTTTGGTAAGAAATTATATTATTACGAAAACAGCACCTTGCAGTTTACCAAATCTTGTACAATGGATAATTATTATATCTGTATTACTAATGTGCTTGCATTCAACAATCGTTAACTTATTGATAAACATTTGATAATTGAATTCAGTATATATATATTGTATCACTTTAAATAATTAAATATCATATAAAAATCTGAACTATAGGACTTGAATAAAAATCTAACTCATAGTGTTCTAGTACTCATGTCACTGATTTCTTTGAAATTAAATTTAATTCAAAAAGTTTACATATTAATTAGCTTTGTACAAATACGTTCTTACTGTTATTTGTTTCTAAACAAGTCTCTTCGTTTTCCTTTACTTTCCAGACTCGTACAAATCAGGAGATTTCTTATACATTATTTTTACTGTAGCTCAGGTAAGTAAAAAGAATCTAGTGGTGTTTGTGAGTTCTAGTGGTTTGCTTAATCTTATTTGGTAAGCAAATTATGTACAGATATTTAGTTAACTAAAGGACATGAACAACTGATAACATAGGTTCATATGTTGCCATGTTAAATGTACTCGTGAAAAACTCTCAAAACTCCTATTTTCACATCACATTACGTTGGAATATATTGTTCCTGTTCATATATATCTCTCTCTGTGTACATATATTTATAAAACGAGCTAAAACATTACATACATTTATGCTTGTTTGTTTGTAATCAAGCACAAAGCTACACAATGGGCTATCTGTGCTCTGCCCACCACGGGTATCGAAACCCGGATTCTAGCGTTGTAAGTCCGCAGACATTCCGCTGTGCCACTGGAGGCATTTATGCTTGTAAACAGTAAGTTATAATTTAGAAACAAGTACCATGAAATAACAAATAAAAATTAGAGTATCATGATCTAAATATTTTGTTATTCCAACTTTTATCATTTATATTCATCTTTTTTTTTGAAAGTATAAAATTTAATCACAAATGAAGTTTCAAACGTACACAGTTAGTAAGTTGAGGTGGCGTATCGCAGCAAATCCTGTCATTTTTTTCACTTATTTTACGGTAGTTTATTAACTATAATAATTCAGTGCTCTCTATCCCATAACAATCTATTTTGTTAATACAGCAATCGGAGATAGGCGGGTTGTAATGATTGGATTATTCAGGTTTAATATTAATAGCAGTTTATATAAATATTGTTTAAGTTACTTCTGAATCGATTTTTTTTTACAGAAAAACAAACAACATGAAAAGTTCGTAGCGTCCTATTCGAAAGTATATTTTATTCCATCTTTTGATTTTTATATAAAATGTAAACAAATATATAGTTGCTCATGATATACATGTAAAATATATTTAGGCTTGTTTCGCCTAAAAGTTGTACAGAAAAAAAAATGTTGACATCATTTTATTTCCATTTAAAAACCTGCACAGAACAAATTAGTTATAAAGGCTCATCAAGTGAAACAAGCGTTCTTGACAGACTTTGATCAAGTGTATTTGAATCAAGTGACAATATATGGGCTTCCGGCGCTTCCTCCTACTGTCACTATCAATGGTGGATATTCTCTTACTCGCAGACACCTCATGTGGAATTCAAACTTTAAAGTAAGATATGGTGGACTTTTACTCTTCTTTGTTATACCTGAATACGTTATATTATTTAGTTTTGATGCAGCTGTCTTTCTGAAACTGAAAATTGTGGTAAATGATTTCCCAATAAAGAAAGTGATGATATTTGTGTTGGTGTTTCCATCTAAGTTCTTCATCAAGTAGGCACTTTTAATTAACAACTACGGTATGCTATTTAGTGAGTTTGAACTAAAAAAACTTCGGGGTTAACGACTGAGTTTTGCATTCTGTTGAAAACTGGATATCGAGATTTATCCTTTTTGTTTTATAATCCAATTTTTCAATGGCTTTGTGGGTTTTAAAACAATAATTTCCGTATCGTCGTAGAAGTATGCCAGTAATAGGTTCATTTTTCAGAAAACTAAATATAATAATAGGATTGAACTTCCCCATACCCTCCTCAAAACTCCATTACACCAATTGCCCAAATCCCTGGATATCCTTGTATAGGAATTAACCTATTTTTTCCAATATTACTTCTGAGC